AACACTATATATATATATATATATATATATATATATATATAATTGTCACGCTGTTTTCCAACAGATGCAGAAGCTACTCACGTGCCTACTTCAAAGCCTTCCTGGACGTCTCCCAATGCGCTCCCCGCTGTCCCTATTCGAAATGACAGTGGTTCCGCTAGTTCAGGTGACGTAAGCCAGCAAATGCGTGGGACGCCGAGAACTGGTTTTATTTCTCCAGGTAAGCAAATTTTAACCTGAGGTTCTTTATTTCTCGGTAAGGTCGTCCCAGTGATTGAGCGAACATTGGACCCGATCACTTGGAGTACCTTCGACCGATGGTGTGACGGTGCCTCAAGAGGCTTTCTACAAGTGGTGACCTGGTCACGGATTAGGCACGTCACTGAAGCCGTTTGATGCAGTATTTGAATTTCGGTTACACTTCATTCTGAACTTCGAAGTTCATAAGCGACGCGTGAAAATCATTAATTCTAGATGAGCGAGCCTTTCCTCTGTCACTTCCCGTATGCTACGTCTTTTGTTCCTTTCTAACCTAGTTCAGTCTGAAATTCGTATGAATCGAATGGTCAGGTGCCTGTTTTTTTCATAACCCAGTGTTCAAGGCGCGACTATTGATCGGAAGGTCCGTGATTCGAACCCAACCCCGGCATTCCGACAACTCTTGTCCGGGCTTGGGCAAATTCACAATGTCTCGGCTCACGTGCTTCCTTCGGATGACGTGGCACCCGAACACCGGCAGGGTGTTGTTACTGTTATTATATTTGCTAAGCGCGGGTGAAAATGAATCTCTTGTCCGGGCTTGGGCAAATTCACAATTTCTTTGGATGACCTGGCAGCCGAACACCAGCAGGGTGTTGTTATTGTTATTATATTTGCTAAGCTTGGGTGTAAATGAATTATGGTTTTGAATTTCTTGACATAGTGGGCAAGATGGACCAAGTGGTTAGAGCGCGAATTTACTGACCGGAAGGTCCGAGGTTCGAACGCGACTTCAGCCTCTCGACTTCTCCTGTCTAGGCCTGGGTAACCTGGTAGTATCCCAGCCCTCGTGCTTCCTTTGGATGGCATGGCAGCTAGACATGGGAAGGGTGCTACAGCTGAACGGTTTTCTTGACATACCATTCTTATGCCTCTCTGATTCCACGCAGCAAATGAACTTGATTCGTTCATTTGGTAACGTGTACGTCATGATTAATGTCGATATCCATGTTTTTCCATTGATGTCGGATACTTGCAGTTGCATTATGTCAAGATTACCCGTCAATTAAACGCACCGTGGCCGATGAATTCCAAGTTCATTAGCTGTGTTCACAAGTCAACCAGTCATTGGATATTGGTTTTGTCATTGTTGGGGTTCTTGAACCCTGCAATCTCTGGAGGTCCGATCCCGAACATATGGTTTGTCTACTCTTTAATTGTCAGTCTTGGATAAGAACCTCTAGCCTCAAATTCTCCCAAAACAGTTCTGATCACGCTAAGCAATACTACGTTCAGTCACACAAAAAAACACTTTCTAGAGACCCTTGACTAGTTCCCTAGTTTCTCTGCGATACATTCGCCGTGTCTTTCTGTGGCCAGTTGGGATACCTGATTTTTTCCACTAATATTATTTTAATTTCAGAAGCCAAAAGCCTCAGCGATTCGTGTCTTACACTGTCATTCGAAGGTAATCTCCGGCCCGGCGCCGAATCACTCGTTCATGACGAGCACTCAACGCTCTTCGTTGTTTCCCGACCATCACTGATTTTGAGGAACGAATCTGCCAATGAGCGAGACTTAGTGTCGAGCGCAACTCATCGTGTCGACAAATCACCGCGACTTCGTCTCGAATCGGATCTCATTCGAGAGCAAGCCTTATTAGAGTGAGCTTTTGATGTTTGCTCCTTGTATAACACTTGCTGGTTTTCATCTTTGTCGGATTTTCGGTATTCAGCCACCCTTTCGCCTGATCTTCCTGATTCTTGCTTATCATTAGCAAGTAGTGTAATCTCCACAGTCATTTCATCGCGACCGACGGCATGCAAATTTTCTCTAAGCCGCGCAGGTGCTCACCATATAGTGACTGGTTGATAATCACCCGATCCTGTGCGGTCAACTTCGTTGTCGTCCCTTCGAAATGAGCTTTAACTGTGATGGCAGTAATAGCCATAAAGTTGGAGAATAAGTGTGAATGTCATCACACATGAAGAACCTTTAATTTGCAACACTGTCCGCAGCGTTGGTTCCAACTAAGCGCTCCTCTGTCCCTCCATGTCCGGTGCTGGCCAGCCCTTGTTTCATTTGCATTACTTTGACAGTAGAAGTCATTCCCATCAAAAGGATCTCTCTTCGTAAACAGGCCTGCTCTCCTGAAGAGTACTGACAGTGTTCGCACGTCAAGAGGCCTACCTAATCCTGTATTGGTCTGTCCTAAGCGGGTAACTGTACACTAATGGGTACAATAGATGGGTTAAAATGCCGACTGATAGACACTCAGGGAAAACAAGTGTTCCATTTTGAAAAATGTGAAGTCTGTTACAATATCTAAGAACAGCCAGATTAAGTGCCCAGCAGAAAGTCTCAACATGCATGCACGTGTTAGATACTTCATCAGCGACTGCTCACTGGTTTCCGTTCAAATGATAAACGGTGCAACTGTCCCGTCCGCACTCCGCGTGAGCACACTCTCTAACTCACCCTCAACGCGGTTAAGCAACACTGACTGGCAACAACGTGACTACGTACTTTGTCAAGCTTTTTAGCAACGAACTCTCCAGGTTTGTTCACGCTCTCAGCAGCGACAATCCGCAAACCTGTTGCAATGAGCGAAGATGCATAGGGATGTTCCATGCATGATAATGGGGTGTCGACTCTACTGATGGTCCGAACGCGAAAGTGGGAGTCAATCTTTTGGTAAGCAGAACAGTCATGCTATTTGGTCACTCATCCAACGATGGCACCTCAACACATATTTCAACGCGAATCCAATCTATTGGTTCTGTTTGAGAACTACTGTTCTAGGGCGTCCATCTTCAGGATTTTACTGTACTCGGCTCATCTGCCCGTGTTACCATAACTTAGAAAACGACCTCTACCTTCTTTCTCAGGTGGCTCATCAAGCTGTGCTATACCCTTTACCATCCGTAACACATTACCCGTGAGATTACTGGGAACTCTCCGACAGTGCGACGCATTCAGCTAAAGAAAATCCTAAGCGAAAGATTCAGCTGTAATTCAGTTGAGATTGATTGAAAACAGTCCTAAATAGTTGGGGAGAAGCAACGGCAGTGACCGCGCTATCACCGTTGGGCCACCGGTAGCAATACACAGTGTTTAGTGCTAGCGTTTCACTGCGATACAGCGGCAGTTCAGCTCTCTCCCTATATATATATATATATATATATGCTTTACCGCTTCCGCCCTTCTGGGAGCTCATCCGGTGGGCATAGTTACCAAGTTTCCATCAATCTTATGCTCTACGCAGGTGAAGCTATACACTCGTTTTCAAGCTAAGCGTTCACGAGAAGCTCAACCGAAACTCAGCGGAATTTTTTTATGGTTTTTGTTGTTGCTAGTCCGCAACCTTATAAGCAGTGTTGCGTCAAAAACAATGTCGTTCCAACTGAAACGTGAGACGGCTTCTGCGCAACATGTTCGATTGAAGGATATTTTTGAAAAAAAACGAGTCAGTCAGCTAGGCTTCCTTTTGAAGATCAATCAATTTACCAATGATAGGATTTCGCCACATAGTTCAACTCCATTACTGATGGAAAAATGAGGCTGGAATGTCCAACTTCCTTTTGGTTCGTTGCTCATTTCCAAGAGTTCACAAAGTGCGCATTGCCCTCATGTGTTACTCTCAGTTGTTCCCCATTCCGGACTGATATGTCTAGGTTGTAGGACTGAATTTGGTTATAGGAGACGTTGTGATATACCTCGGCATCGACCAGTGCATCCGATCACATCCATTCAGGCCTTTATCACTCTCTCTTCCTCACCTCCTGCACCATCACTATCTCGTGGATTTTACATGTCCATTCTTCATTTTGCGTCATTGTTTTCTGGATGTTTTTGTCCCTCCCCTAGTGAAGAGTTGGCCACAATCGAATCGAGGTTGGCCCGTCTACGCATGGCTGCTGCAACCAACGCTCATATCAGAGACGAAAACTTGTCAGCCGAGAGTGTGAATGAACCGGTGTCCTTGGTTGCGAAGCAAGTGACTCCACGTGAGGCCTATGTTGTTGAAGGCTTTGCTGCACAGGACAATCCGGATAAGAGCTCACGGGAAATGCCGCCTGAAGTCTCTGAAGTATGTTGGTTTTCCATGCAGAAACTAGAAGTTTTCCTGCAGGGCTTTGATTATTCATTTGTGACTTCATTAATTTGCAAATAGAGACGTTCGGCCTCAACTTGGGGTATGGGGTTTTTTTTTTACTTGGATCGGCGTTGAATCTCGATCCAAGAGGACCTATCGGGGGCGAGGTGGCCCAAGTGGTTAGAGCCACTCGACTTCCCCTGTCTAGGCCTGGGCGACTTAGAAGTATCCCGGCCCTCGTGCTTCCTCCGGGTGGCATGGCAGCTAGGTACGAGCTAGCTGAACGATTATTATTATTATTGTTATCAAGAGGACCTATCCTTTGATTGCCTATTGTGGCCGACGGATCAGTCGTGAAGTCGACTCATTCCATCACAGGAGCCACTAACCGTACAGCAATTGGGGGACCAATGGGAATAGGTAGCCCCAAGTGCAGTTCACCTTCCCTATTCGCACTCAAGACGCTTAACTAATCAATACACGATCAATACAAAGTCTGTTGTTGTCATCACAAACAACTGCTCTGAGCATCCCCCGCTTGTTTGATTGGCGATGCGCAATTGTGAGCTTGAAGCGTTGAATCGATATGCTGTCCCGCCCTAGTCAGCCGGCGACTGCTTGGGTTGGTGGAGTTCCCTCTGTTGTCTTTGTTGTGTTTACATGTCTGACTGATCCAGCTTTCTTCACATGGTACATGTTCGCAGCTGATCTCCAGTCCTTCGCGAGAACCCGCATGTGAATCAGTAAACAATGGAAGAATTGTTCACATTCACATCACTCTCGTTTGGACACTCTTCCTCCTGTCCTGGCGTATGTCAGGTGCCCGGAGTTCAAAACCCGACAAGGCCATTGGATATGCACTGCTGATGAGCTCTAATAAGAGCAAAACTCGAGTCCAGTGCTCCCCCCCCCGTTTGGTGTGGATTCAACAGAATAATTGCCCCAGGACAGGAGGACGACTGTTCAAACGAGAGTGATGTGAATGTGAACAATACACATCCCGCAATGGAAGAATTGACATGACTGGATGCAACCAAGTAAGCTGTGCAGTGATCCGTGTGGTTTAGACTGGATCGGTAACTCATTGAATACGTCTAGTTTGGGGATAACAACAGTCTACCATGCATCCTCGGTCTGAACGCCCCTGGATAGCCGTGTTTTGAGTGCATCCTGAATTTTATCGTTACCGCATATTTGCAAGGCCGGTGACGTGTCTTTCTTTCATATCGCTTATTTGAGTAGACTGACGACAAAGTTTGTATGCCTTCGCTAGTCCTGAAGTTCCAGCTTCTTTCGTGTTGTCCTGACAACAGTACTTGTAAGGTAACTGACAACTCTTCGATAGCCCAATACCAGTTTTGCCGTTCATTTGAGGAACATAGACGAAAGATTCATCTGAGTCTCCTGTCAACACCAACGTCATTCACAACTGGGTGTAATTTTGCAACATACGGTATTTTTCCTGCTGTGAAGTCCGGACGTTAGAACACCGCGAATTCTGACGGCGTATTTTGATGAAATGACACTGTGACTGTTGACGGCCGTCGACCTGTTCGCCGAGTTAACTTGCAAACGTTTCGTCCCCAATTGGAAAAGTTGTCATCCGTGCGACAGTTGCCTGATCATGTTAACGCCCATCGTCCATCGTATCCAAAGCGCGCACCTAACACTCACTAGTCGCTTGCTTTGGGGCTCGCACATTATACTGCAATGGATTTCGGAAAAGCGGACGCAAGGTGGCGTGTGTGTTGGATTGCCCGTAGTTAGAAACTTCATCGGGCCTATGTCCGAATTGCCTACAGGTAGGATCTGCGTCAGTGGAACAAGGAGGGATGGCAGTGGGGAAACATGGATGTGGAGCATCGTGGCTTTGCAGTAATTGTACTTACTTGGGTGGTGGCACAACCCGAGGGTGGCCGTGGTATGGAACTATTTATGCAGCTTAAGGTTGGACGTGGGCTGGTACACTGCCAGGATACCTAAAGGCCGGAAAAAAACAGTATCGCCGCTGACTGACAGCTGGACCCAGACTATAGACCCCAGCGTTCAGCGAATGGTGTGATGAGAGACTCATTCGATGTGGGTTAGTGTGACAAGGCTGGAGAAAAACATTGCGGAAAACTTTTGGGATAGGGCCGTTGCAGAAACGCTCGCCGTTGCATTGAAATTCATCCGATTCCATTACTCTGTCACTGCCTAGATTTGACCTACTCGGTGAACTGGACAACTCATCGCCAGGCGAAGTGACTATTGGGGAGTGTGCATGTGTGCTGACTTCTCATTTAGATTCGTCTATTCGGGTCTAGAATTCATATCGATACGTCTGCGTCGATGAAGTGACTTAACAATGTTGTTGTATAAATATTGTACAAAAATCTGATACAGCGAATACTTTCTGAGGCGAGGACTCACAGGACCGGTCGGCAACGGTCTCTAAATAGTTGTAGACTTTGTAGTAAGTGTTATGAATTGGGCATTCGTGTTTAAAAAAATAAAATCGGTAGCACTCTTTCAATGAATATCTGCCATGCTACACGAAGAAGGTACGAAGGCTGGGATACTGCCAGGTCGTCTAAGCCCAGACAGGGGAAGTCGAGTGGTAGAGGTCGGGTTCGAACCGCGGACCTTCCGGTCAGTGAATTCGCGCCCTAACCACTTGGTCCATCTCGCATTCGTGTATGAGGTGGATTTATTTCAGTAGAACAACACTGATAAAGTTTAACAGCGGGAACAGTGTGGCTCGTGATGGATTGGTCGTCTATAGTTTGTCTAGAGAAGTGGCCACTGTATGGGGTGTATCACCAAGTGATCCATTTTCTCGAACCACTCTGTTGAGTTTCATTGGAATGAATTAGGAAGCCTCCCAATAACCTGGAGGCTTAAGTATTCTCAATACTGAGATTGGTCTATTATGTGTAAGTAGCCCCAAACTAACTAGTCGGGTAGCAACAAGAGCAAGTAGGACTGGCGACGTAGCTGTCAAGCCCCTACGAAACGGAAACAACTAAGGCGACTCACTACAGCCAACAAGGCTCTAACGGGCACAGATCGATTGATGAGAAAACGTTCACAATCCAGTCGGCAAGCTCTGTGGACAACTCAAAGATCAAGCGGCAGTCATTCAAGCCCCTGGAACTAACAATCGTGTTTGCATGAAAGACTTGATGCAGTGGTCTTGAACAAGCAACACAATCGGGTAAATGAAGGGGTTGATGAAAGTTTGGATTTGCCCGTTTTCTTCCTGTTTTAACATTCTCTCTTGACTATTTGTATCTGAAACATCGGTGCTTCAACTAGCGACCGTTTCTCCCAATTCCGCAGCCCTCAATCCCAACCAAGCAACCCTTACTCAAAAGTCTGCCACAACCATGTGTTGAACAACTTGCTGCTCTCGTCCGTTCCCAAGTGTCCTCGCTTCGTGCTCCAGTGGACTTACCCAGTCTCACTAGTCCGACTCTGGTATCTTCATCGTCATCATCGCTGGTTCAACCGGATTCCTTCTCAGAGGTGCAACATTCACCCGATTCTGTCTCAGATACCGTGTCTGAAGATGTGACTCCAACCCCTCGAAAATCATCCTCATCCATCGGAATTACCTTACCGGAAGAGGAACCACTGACTGACGACTTATCTGTAAGTCCAGCCCATTTCTTACTTCATCCGGCGTGTCGACCATCCGTCACTCGTTTGTCTACTTCGTCAATACTTTTTTGTTTTTTATTCTTAAAGACAATCTCGGAATATAGTTGGGTTTGGCTGTTGTGAGCTCGAGATAACGCAATAGTTAAAACATGGACTTACTGATCACAAGGTCCATGGTTCGAATCCAACCCTGGCATCTTGACTGCTCCTGTCTAGGTCTGAGCGTGCTTCCTTCGAGGAGGCATGGCAGCTAGGCACCGAAAGGGTGTTGCTATTATTTTTTATTTACGACAGTTCCTGGCAGTGACGATGATGAGGCGGAGGAGGGGTGTCTACCGCAGCCCCAAAAGAAACACTCTTGAAACACGTACTTTTCGAAGTTACTCAGATGAATGGAACACACCCTCAGTAGTTGTTGCGTTTTCAACTTGATTAAACAGTTGTGCATTCTCCGCTACTCTTAAGTTCATCGACCTACGACTTATGTTTTACTGGCTCTGATGGAAATCCGTTTGAAATAGAGTGTTTGGAAGGTTCGCTGTAGTCCCTTGGTAGATCGCCGGATGACTGGAAATATCGTGAAAATTGACTTTCCCTGCACTTGCCCCTCTTTTAGCCCTCCAAGGAGCCGGTGCTTGGATTCCAACTTGATTCCACCGGTGCTTTCCAGAGAAGTGAACCAACAAACTTGTCTGCCGTCTTGGCACCCAATAGCTCTCCACCTATTCCAGACGATACGTTGAACTCTCGTGAAAGTGCTGATGTACCCTCGAATGTGCCCCTGGCACCTCGGTTATCCCTAACTGGTTTGTCGGCTGACGAGCGGGCCGTGTTGAAATCCGGTTAGTTCTTTTTCTGGTATATGTAGGGGGTTGTTCTGTTGTTGGGTAACTTTATCCTCCGCTCTTTCTCTTCTACAGTCAACAAATTGGCGGCCAGACTAACCAACGTGGCAATCCACGAGGCCTCCAAGGAACTTGCCTCATTGTCTGTTCCTGCAGACTCGACCTCGATGCCACCGTTACCCACCTCCAGTATGACATTACCAACGGCACCGGATCAAACTGGGGACTCCAAATTTTCGCCTTCCTCATCTTCCAGCTCAACAACCACCGGACTAAATCAAGAGCCCCTTGTATCCACTAGGCAGCCGAATGAGATCACCAGTCTTGAGCCGACCTGTACCTTTTCGTCGGATTCGTTGAAAGCCGAGCTCCGTTCATTGCTGACTTCATCGTTGATCAATACGCTTCTCAGTCGGACAACGGATTCCACCATTTCCACTACTGGTTTGTCTGGGACGGACGTACTGCGCCGCATTCTAAATTCACATGGAAATCCAGTGACCAATGGGGCCAGTTTAGAGTGAGTCCAGTTTATCAACAGGTTGCGTAAGCAGGTAATCCGTACGAACGAAGTAATTGACAAAATGGAAGATCACTTCCGGCCTGTTAAAAAGAAATGAATCCTTTCTGGGAACAGCTTATTACGATGGTCGTCAGCCCAACAATCCGGAATAAGGTACTTGCTTAAGTGGGGCTGCCAGATTCACTGAATTCGTCGGGTGAACTGACCAACCAGGGCAAGCGCCGCTACTTTCGGTAACAGTAGTCTTGTTTACCAGTACTTCGCTGTTTTACATCCATAGAGGGCGAGATGGCTCAAGTGGTTAGAACGCGAATTCACTGACCGGAAGATTCGTGGTTCGAACCCGACCTCTGCCTCTTGACTTCCCCTGTCTAGGCTTGGGCAACCTGGCAGTATCCCAGCCCTCGCGCTTCATTCGGATGGCATGGCAGCTAGGAACCGAAATGGTGCTACAGCTGAACATCCATAGACAATCATTCAAAAATTCTTATAATGAACCGAAAGGAAAGTGCGAATTTTTTCTTGGCACATGGGATATTCCCTAACAAGTTGCGCTCATCCTTGGATAATCGTACGACCACCAGGAGTTATCTGACAAAATCGAATTGATTCCATTTATCCAATGACCGCAGCTTCACATCGCTGACCGTCTAATCAATGCGTTCCGGCACAACACTCAAGATTCCTACGGGGATCTCGACAGCTCGTCGAGCTGAGATGTGTCGTTATTGTGTAACTTGTCATGGATGGACCAAGTGATTAGGGCGCTAATTTGCTGACCGCAAGGTCCGTGGTTCGAACCCGACCTCTTCCTCTCGACTCCTCCTGTCTAGGTTTTGGCGACCTGGCAGTATCCCAGCCGTCGTGCTTCCTTCGGGTGGCATGGCAGGTAGGCACCGGAAGGGTGCTACAGCTGAACGATGTATATCCTCTTAGTACTCAATTCTGAAACAAGCTGTGTTCCAACTGTGAAACTAATTCATTTCTCATACGTTAGAGTTACTTACCGTGTGAACGACGTTTGATGCACACCATGCTGGTTCATTACACTCCTCACACCCGGTTCGGTCCCGCTATATTCGGGAAGAGGCTTGTTAGTCACCAGCGCCTGTTTTGTGAAGCTCTTAGGGCATTAATCTACTTGACAATACGTTCTTCCATTCCAGCCTGCAATCGACACAAGCTTTGCACTCTTCAAGCGACACTGCAAACTTTGTCGGATCAAACGGAGAAGCTGCTCCCGCTGCTGTCACCTCACCTTCATCTGTTTCCCCTAGCAGCGCAAGCCAGCACGAACAACCGTGTTCCGTTCCGGGTGAGTCATTTGTTCATGTGCTCTTGCGGACACACCTTTCTTGCCATTTGATATTCGGTGTCACTTCGATTTTGCGGCCAGATACGATCCGCCCATATGCCCCTCAGTTTATAACACTTGTTGTTTGTAGTTCAGTTGACAATCTGTCACAGTCCCGCGGCTTTTGGAGACCCGTTCATTCGTTCCTCCGATCCAAAACACTAGACTGCTATCAAATCTTTTCACACATACACCTACACACACACGTTTATAGGTTTTATCAGTGGGCCTTTCGGATAACAAAGCATGCCGCGTAAACGTTATAGTGTATAAACAGCGTCTCATTCGTTCTCGTTCGTTTGGAGACATTGGAGTTTCTAGCCTGTGTCACTGAAACCACGGGAGTTTGCTAAGCTTTGAATCCCAAAATATTAAATTAATTGCTGAGAAACGACACTTTATAGACCCACAGAAAGATCACAGTGCTCACGGATTCAATGCGCAATGCTACCAGGTCACGAATAGCACTTTCTGTATGGTGATTCGCACTTATTGATGAGTTTAATTTGAGACCAAACCAGGAGATGCTGTCTTGAGCACTGTTGTGAATCGTTCGTGCCCACGGAGGTGCCAGCATAAGCACCAAAATCCGAAGTTTTCTAAGGAATAACACGAACATGCGAAAGAGAAGAAGAGGAACCCTGACTAGGATACATGTACAGCAGAGGGAATCTAGCGGAACTCATGAAATACGAATCAAAGTCGGTGGTGTTTTGAACGGTACTACTATCTGGACGACTCAGGCGGCTTGAACAGCAAAAATACTCGCGAATTAGATTTATTTATTTATTTATTTATTTATTTATTTAATTTATTTATTTACTTCAATGAGAGAACCACCTAAATCTCGGCGGAATCTCTCGTTTGTGATATTCCTCAACTGAATGCGCTGCGGAAAGCCCACTCCACGTTTCAGTGTGCATACTATTCGAGATATCGCATTATATTCTCATTAAGAAACTCCTCATTAGGTTGCTGAGTTGTGAGAGTTTTCAGCGACTTGTCAGTAGTTCCCTTCAAGAAAAAAACGGAATAGTTTTCGTATAAATCGAAGTCATATTGAATTACCCTCCTCAGTGTGGTATGCCAAGTCTGTGGAAGAGAAAACCATTCGATCATACCAGACGGGGAAATTGTAGCCAGTCTTCTCTAAACCCCTAAGTTTTCTGTATAATTTCTTTGCACTGTAATTCAATTTACTTGTAGTTCACACTACGGAGGCTATCGATTCTTCTCCATTGGACGAAAACACAACCCATCCGCCAAGTTACCCTGTGGCGGGTGATGAACTTCAAGCACCTCGTCTCTCAGAACATGAGGCGGCCATCAAACAGATGAAAACCCGGGTTTTGCATGAATACATCACGGTGAGTGTGGTCACATGACATCCATTTTGCCATCTATGGTGGTGAGTCGGACTGGCGAGTAAACCCAATCCGCTGTAGCTAATTCATCCTTGATCTGAACCTACCGAGTTGCTCGGAGTGAGCTCGAAGTACCATCTCCTACCTGAAAGTTCCCTCACTCTTATCTGACGTAGGTTAACTTGACAGTGAGACAGCCTTAGTCTTTCCTTTAGACGGCGGCCTTCCGCATACCGAAAGGATGCCATAGCTCATGCGATTCGTCTTGATTTGGTTGCTTCACGTTACGTTCACGGAAAAAATTGTTACGCAGATGCATACATTTTTTAACCTTAATCAGGTGAACAAAGATTGGTTACTCAGCTTGGCAGGGCACAACACCAAGTTAAAGAGCTTTGGTACGGCGTCGTCCACATCTGCATCCAGTTCACGAACATGCTCTTGTTCTTCGGCTTCGTTCCGTCATCTGTCGGCAGCGGACGGTGAATCTGATGAGGGTCATAGTTCCCCACAGGATACCAAAACAGACGCGGCACTGTCGGCTTCCGCAACCTGGAACGCAAGCCAGCACCAGGCGACCCGTTCCCAACCCTCAACACTGACCTGGCATTCTTCATATACGCCATTCAAGCCACTTCCGCGTCTTGAAGAAGCCGTTTCGGAGGAGTCTGTACAAGATTCTCTGACACATCTTCCCGTATTGGCTGAGAACGCTAACGCAGCGGTGGATGCGTCCCGTACACCTTCCTCTTCGTGGTCAGGGAGTCGCAGGTCGGCTTCTGAGTTTGGTGCTCTTTCTCGGTGTTCTACCTCGAATTCGAACCTCGAGTCCGCTCGACCCTCAACCCCCGTTCCTCCTGGGAGTACAGAAAATTCACCAGGATCATGTTTATCGTCTTCTGTGGAAAGAAAAAGCACATCCGAGGATACAACGTTACACCAACTACGCAATCGTGTTCCATCGACGCCGGCGGAACCCCAAGAGGTCGAAGTGGTTCCGTGTCTTGGGTCCAATATGTCTTCCGCGTCGTCCCACCTCCATCCAGACAGCCTGATTCGGGAACTGCTTGATAGTGGAGAGGATAACAGCTTTTGGCTGCTCAATCAACCGCCTCCAGCTCGGCCGTCTTATCAAACAGAACAACCTCCGGGCTTGGCAGCTCAGACACGGACCACAACCACGATCGATTCAAGTTTGGTGTGGGACGATATGGAGGGGGATGGATCCAAAGAACATCTCTCCAGTCAAGCCTTGGTTGCTACCAGTGACCCAAAAGTTTGGCTTTTTTCCAGTGACCCAAAAGTTGTAAGTGGCTTTTTTTTACACATACCGTTCCTTTGGATCAAAATACTCGTGCTTGATCAAGATATCCTAAAGGATGTGCACATAACCGTCTGTTTTCCAAAAAGTCCTTTGTCTAATCGTATCCTAAATACCATGAGATTGGGCTTGATGCTGACATCTCTTGACAGCCCAATCCCAAACCCTAAACAAAGAGCACTTTGCTTCCCGAAAGAGTAAATTCCTCTCAATAACAGCCCGAAGTTTAGGACCTGTGTGTTGGAGTTTCCCATATGAAGACATGTATTAAGGTACATTTGGTGTAAAAAACACCTTTGTTTCCAACTTGGTTGTTGTTTCTAAACATCATGTCAGCTACGCAACCCTCCACAAGGAGAGATAACTGCCCTGAAAAGTTCACATTAGTAATCCCCTTCATCCGTGGATAAACGGAGGGACAAAATTCGGTTTTTGTGGAAATCTGAGAATGTACATACCAACTGAAATTTGCGTCGTACTTCACAAGACTGCTAGCTGACACATTGGTCCCACTCACAAAGGGGCTTCTGTTTCCAACAGATACACTCGCCTGCGTATCGTTTTTTTTCACGGGAGACTCACCTGAAGCGCAGCTGAACCTCTCGTTTAGGATATACTCAACTGAATGTGCTGCACAACGATATTCGAGGTATCGCAGTATCTTTTGATAGTGACGGCGCTGTTTTGTGGCAAATTCAGTTGAACAGTCTTTTGGATGAGAGATTCATCTGGGGTTCAGGTGAGTCTTCCGTAGAACAAGAGGCTGACGGAGACTCGGAGACTGCGCCTACCTGATGGGCCATAAGAGGTGCGAAATCAATCGTAAGCTATTGAGTTTTCAGGTGCCTCGTGAGTAGTTTCCTTTATGAGTTTCTGGGTTTTTTGTTTAGTTTACTGGTCCTCACACTTCAGCTTATTACTCCTTACTTCACAGTGAAAAACACCATGAGTTCTAATTTATTGTGCGTAATACATAAAAATCAGGAACGTGGCAATGAAGAACATTTTAAAACATGGTGAGGTAAAATTTGACACGCTGATATTCTCAAGAGGACCTCCTACACCACACCGAGTAATCAATTCAATTTTCAATTTATCATCTATAAACCGCACACCGTAGGCACAGATTCGTTCCACCTACATCAGTTTTGAGCACCGGGAAACGGCAAAGTGGAATATAAAACCAAGTCTTGGAAGCGAAGGCATGTTCAGTTCGTTCGGAAATCGGGTAGCTAAGCATTGAAAGCCATAGCTTTCATGCACAAGCGCCTTACACACCGTGCTCCATTCGAAGAAAGACCGTTCTCTCAAGAATTTCACTATTTCTTTCTGAAATACTTTACCGGCTCAGACTACAAAGTCACCCCTCAAGTATTCCACACACCACCAGCACCAATTATATTTTTCGGTTCGCTTTAGCACCCTTTCGATGCCCAACTGTCAGGCCACCCAAAAGAAGTATGAGGGCTGGGATACCGCCAGGTTACCCAAGCTTAGACAGGGCAAGTCGAGAGGCAGAGGTCGGGTTCGAACCACGGACCTTCCGGTGGGGAAATTCGTGCTCTAACCACTGAGCCATCTCGGCCATCTAATCACTTGGGCCATATGGAAATAAACGTAGTGAACGTGGACCAGTTACGGTAGGCGTAAAGGTTATCCAAGTTATGTGGGTGATAAGGTCTGGTATGTGCTCCCTTCAGACAAGAGAGGAACACTGTACCAGTTCAGCTGGACAGACTGGATACATCTCTTCTGTGCACAAAGTTCTGGTGGGTAGAGTCGGATAACAGCAGTCACGTAATCCGGCTGCTTTGGACCGACCAGAGTTGGGAGCTGCAGATACAGGTGGAATCAAGGGTTCCATTCTAGTCCAACCAGTCGTTGAGTCGCATTTTCACAGCGGTAATCAAGGCCATCTCTTCCAAGAACGTGGTTAGTTCACGTAAAACAAACATTGTCGAACACCTGAAGACGTCTCAGTTCCGCTGCTCGAATAGGCCAAGTCTCACAGTCATACAACAAAACAGCCCGCACTGCAGCTTAATACACACGTCACTTGAGATTCAGAGATAAATCACTCTGACGCCATAGGTGTCTCAAATTAGCAAACGAGCCTTGCAGATTCGTGCGTTGACCTCATCTGTCACACTACAATCGGATACCTAAAACGTTCCACAAGTTCGAGTGCTTCCCCCTTATTGTAAGTGGCGTGTTCGGTGACTGCATGTCCAGAAGCACGACCTCACATTTTGCGGGTGTAAGGTGCATGCCAAAGGACTTTGGTCAGTTCATCCAAAAATACCTGCGCCTTCTCCTCTTCGAAGACGAGAACGATGTCGTCTGCACATTCCATATCGACAACGTTTTCCTCACAGACTATTTGAACACCGAGGTTTTGGAGACCTTCCAACGTTCGTCTCATGATCTCATCGATCACGAAGTTAAACAGGAGAGTGGGTATCCCTGACGGGCACTGCTTTGTGCATGGGAGCTTTTGGAGAGCTCTCCGTACACTCTCACGTCCGGAAGTCCGAGAATACAAGGATTGTATTATGTTCACAGAGTTCCGTAGTATTCCCTGGTGGGTAAGGGTGTCAAGCAGAAAAGATCGATCGGCCGAGTCGAATGCGCCTTTGAAATCCAGGAATACTAGAATTGTGGTCGTTTATACTACGTATGGCGTTGTTCTAGTACCTGACGAAGTGTGAAGATTTGGTCAACGCAACCCCTACCAGGCCGGAATCCCGCCTGCTGCTTTCGGGTCAGTGTTTCACGAGCCACCATAAGGCGACGAAGCACAATTGACGCCAACAGTCTCGTTACGACCGGGGTCAAGCTGATTCCCTGTGGTCGCCAAAACCGCCAGCAGCCAGCACTACCACCGATTCTCCCCAGTTGTCTGGGACAGACTCCTTTTCCCAAGTGCAAGCGAACTGATCAGACAAGCGCTGACTGAGGACTTCACCCCCATCTTTAAACAATGTGGGTAGGGGGTCATCCGAACCAGAGGCTCGGTGGCGCTTGAAAGAACATGTGCAGTCGTAAACCTCTTTGGCTGTAGGTGGTTCCACGTTCACCGTCCAGGGTTCTACGTCACCTGTGAGTTCCAGATGGGTGCCAGCTGGTGGTCATGACAATTGTTGTCATGGGCCTTTTCCATTTTCTTGGCTTTCTGTGTCCACCACACTTCACGGTCAGATTACACGCTCACCTTCACTTGACTGCCTTTACCGTCGAACCAGGCTTAATCTCACCCACTTGATTTATTGAAGCTTCCCGCCTACTCCAGTACTCACTTGAGCATCTACCTCGGCATTGTATGGGCACGCACCTTCGCCCTTTGGTCAAAATGTTCTCCGTCATGAGAATCTGGTGAATGCCGCTTCGTCAGTAGGAGCTGTATGATGGCCGGTCATCTCTCCTCAAAGTCCATAAAGGCAACCGTGCTGAGGCATTGGAAGGCTTATATACTACTTACATACTACTTGTAGTGTGGCAAGCTCCTTTATGTGGGTCCTCAAACAGCCCAGTAGTCAATAATTTCATTTCCCACCTGAGCCCACGCGGATGAAGATTATTCTGAATGAAATATTCAGTTGAGTGTTCAGGGAGTTCATTTGACGCAGATAGATATTTTCATAAAGAAAACTGCCCCGGGGTTGTTGAAAACTCTTGGGCAGCGAACGACCGGTTTCGTCCCTCTCTCGAATATCATACCAACTGAAAAGTGAGGGGGCCTTTTTGCAGTACATTCATTTGAAGAATGCCATAGATGAGAGATTCAATTTGGTCTCCGGTGAAAATCAAATTTATATGTAAATGGGTATATTTGTCAAAATCATTGGTATTGTTTCAGTGCACGACTGCATGAAATGTTTGACCAGGAAACCGCGGCTCGAAGTTCTTCTGGAATACTTTTTTTCAGATTCCGGTGGGAGCATTTGTCCAGCCGATATCGACTAGGCAACCACCAAGCATCCCAAGTTCGCCAACCAAAGAGCCAAGACCCTCAACACCCGCTGAAGGCGCTACCGCTCGTGGCACGTCTGATCGCGATCTGCCACCGATGTTTCAATCGCTGCCAACCGTATTTGTGGACTGTGAATCCGACTCACTGACGGAGATACAACATGTGAAAAAGGCTCCTTTCAGTCGTCACCTCCCTGTGTACGCGTCATGGAGTAATTTCAGCCGTTTCCAACCATGGACTGACATTACCCCATCAATCTCTGACTCTCTGCGTTCGTTCCAACGACATGAGCAGAGCTGTCTGCTCGCCGATGATCCGCCCCCTGCTAGTGCGCACGTTGAAGGTAGGCCCTGTTTTCAGTTCGATCAGATTACCGGGTCCACTTTTGGTCTGGTTGTTTCAAATGAGCATTAAATAGTGATTGGATATCGTTCGGCTTGTGTGTACATCCAAGCGAAAAATGTTTTGAGCTTTGTCAGCATGTGCACTTTCAATCAACGTGACCTTATTTATTTACATTTCTTAATATCAACCGTGTGCTGAATGAGGTCTTAATCAATTGTGAGAAACGGTGTTCATCTAGACACTTTTATGTAGAAAATTTTGACTCTAAGCCGGATGCTCAAGGACCTACCCTAATTCACCAGCACCCGAGTATTTTTCTATCCACTTCGTTGTAGACTGTGTTCTTCTTGAACCATTTAACGGTCAGTCAACTTATGGTATCCGTAGATGAGCTCAAACTATTCGGATCTGCTCTAGAATGACCAGCACAGTGGATCGATAGACCTATCATACAGCAGAACTTGATCTCACCTTATCGTATGCAACAACAGTTTGTTCGTCATCTGGCCCTCACTTACCAGTTAACTGATATTTGTGCTATCCTATCCCACGTGCCCTCATGTCCGTTTTGATCAATTATGGCGAGGTTAAATCATTGATCGACTGGTTCTGTCACCGAGTCTGTTGTAAACTGCCTTGCTGTTTGTGTTAGTGCTGTGGGTGGGGGGGGGTGGAGTGAGTCTCATGTTGTCCTTGTCTGCGGATCTACGCATATTGAATATAATGATGCTGGAAGATCACAAATGGTGTGTAGGGTCCACTTCCTTATCGGTGCTTCTATGACCGTGACAGTTAACATGGTGCCTGTGACCAGCAGCCTAAGTAACCATGAGTTGTTTTCAACACCATCGTCATCACTGCCGGCTGCAGAGCCCACCCAATGCCGCAATACGCGCTGTTCGGAATGGTACAATGGTTGCATCACTTACCTCGTCTTTAGCTAGCTTTATTCGTACCCACCTTGGTTTATCCGGCAAGTTCGACTGCAAATGTTGGAGTCCGGCGTTCCGGCTTCTGATATCCCTTCCGCTGTGGTAGACTGGATGGGCTAGTCATTGAGGCATGGTTCTATGTGATTTCATCAGTTGGGTTCTCCAAACGCATAGCAGATCAAAGTGAGGGAATGAATTCCTTTGAAGGCCGTTTTAGCCACCCCGCTGCCAATCCTGAACCCAGCCAAAAATAACCAAAATGTTCTCCATAACTGGTATGTTCTTCATCATTAGATGTTGTATTTATTCTGCTTCGGAATTACATTTGCAAGCATCGCCACCTGGTTTTAAATAGCTCTGCTGTTACGGAGTTAGCTTACAAACAGGAGGGTCCGTGGTTCGAACTCAACCCTTGCCTTTCGAATGCTCCTGTTTGGGCCCGACCAAGCTGCCAGTATCTTATCCCCCACGCTTCCTTCTGGTGGCATGGCAGCACCATAGGGTTGTATGGTGCAAATAAGAGTAAGCCGTTCGCCAGACAGTATCAGTTTGACCGACTGTTTAATTTGTCTAAACCTTCTGGCAACTATTCGTTGTTCACCCCGTTACAGCACCCGCACACCAGGCAGGACGAAGGGGGCAACGCAAATTTTTGGAGTGGAAGCCCGATCAAATCGACTCCAACATGGTCCGGCAGAATGCACATGCAATCAAATCCGTTGCCAACCCACTTTCGAAACCAAGGGCAATCGGAACCGCTGGCCGAATAACTGCTTCGCGTGAAACTACTGCAAAAACCAAAAAAACGTCCGCTCGTGCGCAAACAATCCCTATGGAGAGTGCACCAGCACTGCAAGGTACAAGTACAAACAGCGATGTGCTAACCAGACGCACGCGAAACGCCAGTGTGTCAGTTTCGTTGAGTAAAAAGGTACGTAGCTCGTGTGCGCACCAAAGCTGGTAACATTTGAGGTTGCAAAATTATCTAGGGTGCATCGAATCCAATCGTGACATTTAAAGGCACCGCGTCCCATTACCTCAGCATAAAAACAGCACACGTCATTGTGCAAGTGTGTGGGCCACCCAATCGATGATCCCGATTTTTCTTACTATGAAGCTCATTAAACATCCTTTGTTACATTGCTGTGCCCTTTGGGAACGAGCAGTAAAATAGCACCGGGGAGCGGTAGCTATGAAGCTCATTAAACATCCTTTGTTACATTGCTGTGCCCTTTGGGAACGAGCAGTAAAATAACACCGGGGATGCGGTAGCTATCGGTTTACTGTGTCGATCGTGCAACTCAACTGGGCCAACAGCAACGTCGTGACATGAACGTTAACGAATTTACTGTGCATGATGCCATCGAGGAGGTAATTTCTCCGTGTTTGTATGCTTGACGAAACCAGGAGTTTGTCCTAACGTTTCTCGACCTCTGTCTCTTTGCGCATTAATTTTCGCCTACTCATAAGTAGCTAAATGGCGTGCTGGTCTCCAGTCTTGTTTATCTGGCAACGAGGGTACATGAGGCCAAAACCGACAGCTCGGAGTTAGAAATACGTGGTGAAAAGTATTGTTTGTTCGGTTTTCTTTGTGGACTCTGATGAGCAGCACAAAACTCTCGATTGAATACTCTTTACTGCATCCTTGAATAACGTAAGCATGCATGGTTCTCGGCAATGGAAGGTGTTCTGGCCTAAGTTCCAGTGTTCTCTGGAGGATTATCAACAGAATTCCCAAAATTGGTGTAGCCATACCGCCGACGCACGCACATACTTCTGTGAATGCTACGGGGAAACCTGAGCAGGGCATCCATGGGACTTTCTGCCACAGCTCAGAATGAAGAAACTAGGATGGTCAGCTCCTAAGTCTGCATTCGTAAGTCTGAATTGGCCCTCTGTATCGACGACGGTAGAATAGGTCCAGCTCTTGAAAACCTTATTCGTACCTCGGTCAAGTGAACCTCATGCACATGTGTGTTCTTCGGTGGGCCGGGTGCTCTTTTCGATAAAGGAAAGGAATCAGGTTGATCGTCTACCAAATGTTTAGTGGAATCCCGCGCCTATACCGCTTTCCTGCTCGTAGTTAAGCGCTACTACAACCAAGAAGCCTATCCCGCAAGCGACTGTCCAGAAGATCGGGCCGCATCCAAGTAAGCTCTAATTGGCCGAGAGCGTGGACCCACCAGCCAATCTTAACTCGGTGTCCGCCCAATGCCGGTTATAAATGGCGCTGTACATCTGTTTTAGACTTGGCGTTAATACACGTTGTGCACCTTTGGTGGTTGCTTTGACGGAACGCTAGCTAAGCTCTAATTGGCCGAGAGCGTGGACCCACCAGCCAATCTTAACTCGGTGTCCGCCCAATGCCGGTTATAAATGGCGCTGTACATCTGTTTTAGACTTGGCGTTAATACACGTTGTGCACCTTTGGTGGTTGCTTTGACGGGAACGCTAGCTTGAAAGGTTCAGACCGAGAATCAAGCTGAGAAAGAATACGGTTATTACAGTTTCTTAGCGGGATAAATTGTTGTTTGTGTGGAACTAGATGTTCATTCCGGTTTAAGAGCAGCACTACATACTTCTCGTTATGCATGCCGTTCCACTGTTACTTTTTTCGCGTTTACATCGCTCTCATTTAAACGGTCCCCCCGATGTCCTGATGCGATTACTCCGGCGGGTCCACACCAGACGGGATAACCACTGGATTCGAGTTTCGCTCTGATTAATTCTCACTAGTACCGAATTTCCTTGGTCGTCCATGAGTTTGACCTGAGAAGTGAGCGTGTTCCCACTACTCCATCAGCGCACGTTTGTCGTGCGCTGAATCATCGCATCTAAGCAGGCGATGGTGTTCATTCTTCAGCGATGTGATTGGTTTGCTTTGTATGCTATGTCGAAGTGCCCGGCTAAAATTCCATTCACAACATATGCTCTGATGACGTGCTTCATTTCAGCCTCGCTATCGCCGCCCCTCTGTACCTGCTCGGACATCGTTCCAAAACATTTGTAAACCTGCCATATCTGCTAACCCAAAGACAGAGCGAATTTCTTGTGTAAACCGTCAGCAGGTGACCTCACGAAAACCATCCGGCTACGAGGTGAAAAAATGTTACGTACATGACCCTCCGCCCGAGGCAAAGTCCACACTCCTTGGGGCTGTGAACGGTCCCCTGCCTTCTTCCAGCAACTCCGTCGCACCAACAAATTCAAAGAGTGTCGAACTTGCGCTACTGCAACAATTAGGCCAATGGCGAGCTGCTAGATTTGGACTCCGAAGCCGTACCGATCCACACATCACATCAACTACCAGCAGGTCGTCCGCATTCAGCACAGCAAACGGTTGGAGTTCTAAGTTCCAGTCGACCGTGTCGGTAGCGGTTTCGGAGCATGTGGACTTCTCTGCTATTCATCCTGGTCCTCCGCCCCCAGTTTTCGAACAATCGTTCATGGACGACGACCTCGGTAAGTTTTATTATTGTTATTATTATATTTTATTTTATTTCTATCTGGACTTCTCGCTACCAGCTCTTTTGAATAAATAGTCCCAGCTACTAATAGTGCTAATATTGACACTGAAAGATCTGTAGTGAGCTGGACAACACATGACTTGGCAGAAAGGCGTCAAAGAGATCACGAGGCGTTTGGGTGTTTTTAGTGTTGTTGTACTTCCAGGATGGGGTTCCCGTGAAGCCTAGACAGGGGAAGTCGAGAGGCAGAGGTCGGATTTGGAGGTGCAGGCACCTCAGTATGCTTGACATAGGCCAGCACTAGGTCCCCTCCCTCACCCACCCTTTTTCTCTCCTTTTCACCCTAGGGCTTTTACTATATATATATATATATATATATATAGACGAACCTTATGGTTGTACGGCAGTGAAACATCAGTGCCAGCAGTGGTGTTGCTGGCTTTGATGATGCTGATGATGAGTGAGCTGATGGTTCTTACAAAGACTGTACTTCCTTTTTTTCACTTTGCATGGTGGATTAATGCGTTCGTGATCCTTTTCATTAGGCGTGGGCAACCTGCTGGCCTCTGATCCCTCCATGTTGGACGGTTGCTGCACTTGAACTGATAGTTTACAAACGTTTGGACAGTTTGGTTTCGCAGATCTGACCTTTCACTACTGCAGTCCTACACCACCATTAACACCTCGAAAAAAGCCAATCTAATCCAATCAACCAGTAGACCCACGCACAGCGAACGCTAGGAAAGCCGAACGAAACCGGTTGCCCCAATAGACGTGCACATATTCGTGAACTGAATTGTCTTCTGATATACGTATGCGACAAAGGGCGTAGCTGGTGAGAAAGCTACTATGTCACTTGCATAAGGTCTTCGAAAACTGCTGTTGTCAATGTCAGCTGGGAACGTGGAATTAGCAATGAACAGGTAGGCCAGATGATTCTGGGGAGTGGGAATTCTCTTCTGACAGATCCCGTCGACCACGCTTCATGGGGGCGAGGTGGCTCAAGTGGTTAGGGCGTGACTTTACTGACCGGAAGGTCCGTAGTTCGAACCCGACCTCTGCCTCTCGACTTCCCCTGTCTAAGTTTGGGCAGTTGCAACTGAAAGATTTATATTATTATTATTATTATTATTATTATTATCATCATCATCATCATCAGACGATCGTCATCCTGGCGGAGCTCTTGAATGACCGAAAGGCCACCAAATTTGGTACGGCTAAAACTTCCGTATTTGTGCATGGTATCTCTGGAACGCGACGCATCTATCTTCAGTGACACTTGCCAGGATGGCTCGAGAACGCAGCCAGTGACTGCACCGAAGTCGCCACTTTCAATGCCTAGTTGTGTAAATTTCACATGAGGACAACTCTACCCCAACTAACCGATTAGACCATTGTTCTCAATATACGGTTTCTTGAGTGGACGGACTGTAACAGTTGTCTGAATTCAATCATCCTAACTAATGGTCCTTGCAAGAATTTGATGGCCGCCTCACTTAGAAAAGTCCCACGGAAGTTCGTTGTAAGGGGGATGCGAAGATCGGGATAGTATTCCCCACTGTGCCACCTCTCTGTAGCCGCACACACACTGAAATGATTTTATGCTCAAAATTTGCGCACATCTCATATACTCATGTCATGCCCTAATATCCCCAGATCGTACAAAAGTAAAGACTTGACAAATACCGACTAGCCAACCTGGCTAGATTTCTGTTAGGTACCAGGTGCTTATTGATGAAGGCGTGAAGCTATTGGACACAAGGTTTGCCGGTAATCGTGGCATCCAACTGAGTTTTTAAACCCACCTATATCATATGACAATGTTCAGTCGTATACCCTACTCAGCAATTGTTCAGGCTGTTTTTTGGCAAAACTGAATTGTCCTTCGATATGGAAAATTTACTCCTTTCACCACCATTCTACATTTCATTCGCCTTCGATTCCCTCACTTTTGTGTGTCTATCTAGGTTCTACTGTTCCTTGGTTCAACGAACACCATGTTCCAGCCTCACTGGTTCAAAGACCATCTACTCCCACCCCCGCCGAAACAGGTCGTCCGTCAACCAGTTCCGAGGAATACAGTACCGCCCCCTATCAGCTCGGATCCAGTGGTCGTGATGCTGTTCCACTGGGATTAACGGACTACCATGGTGTGGAAGTAGCTTCGGCAGCGTGTGCAGGAGATGAGGTACCAGTTAAGCGCCGGAACGGCACCAATGAAGTGCGGTACGTTGATTGGTCAGGTAGCATTGTGTTAACCCTTATGCGCAGCGTCCCCTTTTTATACAAACGGGAGTTCGGGTATGCTTGACCCTACTGCAATCACCCTAGTAGGCACCACCCCGTCGCCAGTATTGTAAATTCAAACTAAGTCAGAAAACACGTAGGTAAGGACGCGGGTGTACTGTGTACATGCGGGCAAACAGGTCCGCCTTTTAACGGGTAAGCAGAAAACTGAGCCACTTATCCAATCATCTCACAAACAGTTCTCTAATGTATTGAAGGAAAGACACGCAAGCGTGCCAACCAATCGGACACTCACCTAATCAGCCCCTAAAGTCACATGCCAGATCGATCGTGGATTGACGAACGGACACACGCGCGCAAACTCTCTGACACACCAAAGCGGCTACTACACTTAGGATAGGTGGAGATGAGATGGTGCGGTTCACACAGGGGCATCGATGACGCATCGCGATCCATGGACGAAGATAACGATTTTGTGCACAGTAATAGCTAGCCAGTACTGAACTTCCTTACGTTACCGTGCGGTCTTTATTGAACGCTTCACAATCAGTACAGAGTTTACAATTGGATGATGGCGCGTGTTCAGTTGCTCGCAATTTAATAATGTGCTTAGCACAGTCAACTGCGTCGCATCACATTGTTGTCGCACCGAGTATATAGGCAACTTGAACCCTTGTGTGGTAGGCCGCTCACGTGACCCATACCTGATTCTACGCATCTTCCGCTCCCCATCTCTCGATTGCAATCGTCAGAAAATCGAAATGGCAGTTAATTTGGATGGTATCGTTCTCCCTCTCTACAAGAATCACCCTTTCAGGAGCATTCAGTCTCTTATTCTTACGTAGGCGTATTATTTAGCTTGTAATTTGACCTAAAAAGGGCCCAAATCGTTTGAGCATGCAGAATCTTCATTCTCTCAGCATTTTAAAGGTACACAAAAATTTAACGGTGGTTACGATCAATAAGTGCGAATTCACTCGCACTTTACCTCATCAGCGACGAAACCACACCCAAAGCATTACAGTTCTAAAAGCGTTCACCAACCCACAACCAAATATGTAGCGGTACAAAACTATTTCCCGGCAAAAAAACAAATGTCAGTCATTTTCTTAAAGGAAACTACTCACAAGGTTGCTGAAAACACGTCGACAGCCCACGACCGGTTTTGCCCTTCTGCTTTGGGCTCATCAGGTAGGCGCAACCTTGTGAGTAGTTTCCTTAATGAAAATATACTGCGATATCTCGAATATCGTGCCAACTGAATCATGAGGTGGCCTGTGTGCAGCACACTCAGTTGTAGAATATCATGAACGAGAGATTCATTCGAGTCCCCCGTGAAAATCAAATTGATTTGCAAATGAGTGCATTTCTCGAAATGTCAGTCATGTTTTTTCCAGTCGTATCTCGGATGGTATTTCTTGATCGATAGCCATTTTCGCCAAGTGCCCCATTCTGCTCTTGCAATAATGTTCCTGTGACGTTCTTGGACATTCTTCCGATACCGTATATCCTCTGGACACAGAAATTTCCTCGTATAAACCGTCTTCCGCTGATAAGTCAAGTTTTAATGCCGTTGATTTCTGATAGCTTTGTTTTGCGCCGTGAGCCGTACCTACTCATCGTCGACACCGAATGCTTCCGCAATCGATAGCTTAGTCGTCGCATCGTGTTCGAATGGACGCATTTTTCGATACGACTCAGTGGAGCTGTTGGTAAAATTGGCCGGCCGCGCTGGCGCAAAATGACGTGGGTCGCCTTCACCTGCACATTGGCAGTACGCAGTTCACGAAACTCGAGTGTTTCAAACCTCCCGGCGACTAGTTAAAGGCCAACTGCCAGCCCGCGGGCAGCTGATGGGCGATATAGCGCCATTCATCCTTCAGTCGCAGGATTCATGGTTACGTGTCGACCGGCTGCTTACGTCGAAAGTGTACGCAATTTATGGATTATCCCTCCTTTCCAGGCTACTTAGAGTCACCAATTGTGCTGATCTGATCCGGCCTGGGCCTTTCATCACCTACCAACCACTCTCCTGCAATTTGAACAAAATTCGGAACCAATTTTAATCACGATTAATCCACTCCGCTGTCCGATATTCAGACGTTCGAGCTGGATGAAATAATTGTGTAGAATTCACATGATTAACTCGAGTTTCCCATTAGATTCAGCCTGTAAGGAAATTGGAAGGTGCCTGATGTCGCTGTGGAGAATATTGACAGCTCACTTCATGTAATTTGTTCTTTGGTTTGATCGCTGTGCGAAGCTCAGAAATTCTGCTAAGGACGTTCCGCCTCGAGTCGAGTTGACATCATTATCATCCATGACATCGAGCATGCATGTTACAACTTTATGGCACACTATCATCGTCAGCGACAGGATGACATCAGTGTTCAGCACCGATGCTTCACTGTCGTACAACCATGATTTATTTGGAAGGAAAAAATAAAGGTGGACGGGGAAGGGACTTGGTGCTAGCTTGCCACATCCTCCAGGCGAAGACTCAATTGTGTCAGGAAACCTGCGTTGGGTAGTTGTGGCATTGTTCGGCTAGCCGAACCTATCGGTCAGCCCTAATCCTATGAGGCAAAGCGCTTATCGTAATTCAGCGAAATATGCCGATTTATGGGTTAATCTGGCTTCCTTCACCAGAACCTGACGGTCTGAAACTCTGTAGATTCGTGAGAAGTGCATGCTTCTACATAAGGACGAAACAGCTGCCCAGAGCAGCTGCGCTTTTCTGGCTAGATGTATCTTATCTGCAGGGCAAGTCCCTGGAACTTGAAAATATATTTACACTACTGACAAACTGTAAGTAACTCAGAAGGGGAGAAATTTACAAGTTATGTAGACCCTGGGAAAGCCGATCAACGCTTGGTCACCTGATGTGATTTGAGGCACTTTATCCTCCCAACTGCCGGCCTAACTACCCACTGATTAGCCACAAATGACCAATGAAACTACGAGTTAGCCAGTTAGGCAATTACGCTAAAGATATCAGACACGATTAGAAAAACGTATAAAGCAAACAAGAGAGGATGGAGATTAACTACCCAGCTATGATTCGTGTACGAATCCGCCAACATCGTGTGGTGGCTTTATTTCGATCTTCTTAGATAAAGTTTTTTTAGAGATTGTTTATCTTGTTTGCCTTTTCAGTTATGAAGGTAATCTTTCATTCCGGCAAGTGGATCACAAAGACAGTCTGATATTTTACTGTAGCTTCAAATAGGGAACATTTTGTTCAGATAGACCGCTCCTAGATATCGCTCATCATCCCAACTCGTTACTCATTGTCTTTCCAACACACTACTGCATTGTGACAGGTTTTTTGGTTGATAATGCTACATTTTAGCGTGTATTTCTCCACAGTGACGCTATCCATTAACTGTTCGGCTGTAACACCATTTCGGTTCCTAGCTGCCATGCCACCCAAAGGAAGCACGAGGGCTGGGATACTACCAGATTGTCTGAGCCTGGACAAGGGAAGCTGAGAGGCGGAGGTCGGTTTCGAACCACGGACCTTCCGGTCGGTAAATTCGCATTCTAACCACCTGGGCCATCTCGCCTTCCATGCCATCCATTAATTTAAGGCTAATCTGAAAATAACAGTCACTAGGCCTCATTACACTGGAATTTTTCTTTTAATTTTTACCATATATCTGCAACAGCTACCCGTAATGAGAGTACTGCATTTTTTCCCGAGGAGATGACTTCGGAAGATAGCGAAATGTCTCGTAGACTGAGTTTTATCCTCATGGATGGGAAGACCGATTTGAGCGGTATCGCTGGCTTCCTGTGTTGACGTGATCAACCTTTATTTGGATTTTGGATTTCCAAACCGTACTTTTGAAGTTGACTTGTATCGTTTTACTTCTTTTCAAGTGAAGGCTTCAGGTGTTCAGTACTCGTCCATCCATAATTGAATTCGCTAATGACAATCAATGGCTGTGCCACTGAAGATCGTGAAACCGAACAATTTTACGACGAATTTGTGTTGTACCTCTAGCGACGACAACACCAACTTTGATGGACATCGAGCCGTTATGTTAATCCATCGGCCAAACCAAGTTCGTTCTGAATGAACCCGCCGATGCGTTGATGAACCACCGGTGCCAACTGTCTAACATGACTGTCGTCGATGGAGAGCGTTTAGGTTCTGGTGTAAAATCCCCAATTAGAGAGTCCGGTTTCCTAAATATCTCCTTACGATAAAACGCTCCAAACGGATTGGTCGCATTACAATCCGTGTGTGACCCGAGGACTCATACTGTCCGATTTCCCACCCCCTAGAAATGGAAATACAGCGATGCTTTACAGGTGACGATAGCTTATATTTTCTAGTTCCCCTCAAAGTGGTGGTGGGATCTTTGAGTTTCCCCCTAGTCTGGGTGCATACCACCTTTACTATTTTGCCATCCTACCCACTACAAATCATACCTATGCCCGAAGTCCCTAATGGTTCTTACTGCACTTTCAAAGTGTGTCTCTCTGCATTCACCGTTCCACTCACACAGCTTTGTGGTCCCCGACCCTCATGATGTCATTCGATCCGGCGGGACTGCCTCTCAATCACACAACGAAACACAACCTCATCCACTACAGTCAGCTAATCGCACTAATCCAACCGTGACCAGCCATGCAATCCGAGTGCCCAATTTGGCTTCCCGCGCCCAACAACCAAATGATGCACTGTCAGCTCCAGTTCACACTTCTTCGGTCGACGTAGCCCGAGCTTCAGTGTATAAGACAAACAGACGGAAGCAACGTGATGAACAAGCTCGTCAGAACCGAATTCGTATGAAAGAATTTGATCAAGTAGGTAGATTGGTTGTATTTCACGAAATTATTCTTTGACGAGGTCTACTGGCATTCGCTCGTGGTTCTCATCCTTTGCCTCCGTGCCTTTTCTTTCCTTTCCTCAAACAGTCCGAGCTCTTTTTTATGCGAGTTTCTTAGAACTCACCTGTGATTGCCTGATCCTCACTGAAAACTAGAAACCATCTGTGGAAAGCGAAGTCTTGTTTGAATGGCTCTTCTTGGGAATGAAACATAGTGAATAAAAACATGTAAGGGAATATGTATCGCCTTTTGGCTATTTTAGCCCCAATAATAATACTGCGTTACCTAACTGCCCCACAGGACACTACGTGAGGACAGTAAGTAAACAGCGAATCACTGGCGTCGGACTGCTCGGATAGCGTCCCCCGTTTGCCATTTACGTATGTTCTGGATCTGCCCATTTCTCATCCACATCATTCGGGTTTGGACGATCCCGTCGCAATCATACCGTTTCGACAAAATATCACCGCTGAATTCCACTTTTTTCGCCCTTATTGGAACTCATCGGTAGCGTCCATTCTCGACTGATTGCGCTGAGTAGGTATGATGTGAACATGTGAACACATTCGTGCTATGCACGGGGAAATCAAAAAGTCACACGTTTATTTTTTGCAATAACGCGGCCAAATCTGAAACTAACCAAGTAATCTTGCCGGGGAATTAGCGAAGAACCAAATAGTAATGTGTTATCACGTCGGAATCTCCGAATCGCTACACCGGTCCCAAAAATTAGTACGAAATAATTTAATCCCAAAGTTCTTCGTCATGAGGTCTGACAGCGTCCTTCGTCCATCCCAGTTATGATGCTCCCACGTAATTCCAAGTTGCCCAGAACATAATTTTGGTCATTCGGACTGAGTGACTGCTATTTTAGCAAACAAGCTCGTTCAGCTGTGATGTACCCTTCCGGTGCCTGGCTATCATGCCACCCGAAGGAAACACGAGGGCTGAGATACTGTCACGTTGCCTCATCCTGGAAGTTGGGTTCGAACAACGGACCTTTCGGACAGCGAATTGCCCTTGAACCACCGAGCTGTCTCGAGCTCGTATCAAACGAAGGAAAGAATGAAAAATTGTATCGGATCAGTCCTAGCAGTCACGCACGATTGTTGGTAGTTGTGAGGAGGACTAAGTTGCGAGATGCTAACATTTCAACCCGCTTTCTTCGGCCCCAGACGTAAAGACACTCAGCGCTCATGAATATGGCTGTTATGCTCTTATCAACTGATCATCTCGGAGAAATCAGATCAGCTCCCGATTTCGATTGCTCATTAGTGTACGTTGGAAACAGGGGAAGGTCAATCAGTTGGCCTGCTCGCAGTAAGTGAATTTCAGTGCGGTCTCTCTGCCAGTGGTGTTGACCCACTATGCTGCAAGTTTCGAAGTGATTGATTTGTAAAAAAAATTGCATGATTATTCAGGGATCATCCCAATCATTTATGTGGGTATGATTGTCTGGGACAACTCCAGGCGACACGTCTAACACAATCACACAACCAAGCTCTATCTCTCACCCTCGATTGTAACACGATCATTTAGGTTATAGAAAGCAGAGCAATGGTAAATGCATTTTAAGGCGGACGGAAGTCTGTTGGATGTACGCTACGGCGCAGTGTGCCGCAATCTATTTAGCTAACTCCTGAGGCAGGCTTCAGGAATGTTTGCGATACACGCTGTGCTGACACGATAAATCGCGACCCAATATCGACTCCAGTGATGGACTTCACAGATCCCTTGGAGGACGAGTTGTTCTTTGTCGCTATCCACAGGGCCGAACCAGGTTTTGTGTTATCCTCTGAGATGACAACGTCATCGTTGACACTGCGTGGGAACTATGATTTATTTTGGTGATTTCAGCATCGCCCCTGTGCTACAGACGCCCAAGCCGTCGTTGGCGATGTCTCTAACACGTATCTCCTTAAATGCGCTGACCAGCTCGATCACATTTACTACTTAGGATGATGCAATCTTCTGGGCAGGTCGTGGGCTGTCGATGGATTTTCAGCAACCTTATGAGTAGTATATTACAAAGATATACATGTATCGCGATATCGCGAATATCGTAGCGACTGAAACATGAGTCGGCCTGGCGCAGCACATCCAGTTGCCTGAGAACATCACAAACGAGAGATTCAGCTGGGTTCCAGGTGAGTCGAAAAACCAAATTAGTTTGCAAATGAAAGCAAAAAACAAGGTTTGGATCATGCTGGCATCCTCCACTTGCCTTTCGACGATTCCTCCAACTGTGAAACAAAAATCCTCTGTAGACATGCACGCATCGCCATCAATTGGATCCGTTGGTGTCCCACAGTGAAACGTATTCAGATGAATAGAAAATCGTTGGAACATACTGGATTCGGTGAGGCGAATCAACGTCATCACAGACCAGTAAGTGATTAGACATTCACCGTGACCGCTTACCACAAGCTGAGAACACTATCTTCGTTTTGCGAATCGTATCCCAGTTAAGTGGGTACTGATAATTGGCGCTAGTAAGAGCGGAACTCGTGTCCAGTGCTTCCCCTGTTTGGTGAGGGCTCACCAGGATGATTGTGCCAGGAAAGAATAACGATTGTCCAAACGAGAGTCATGTGAGTGTGCATTCTACTTGGAACCGTTTCTCCGGAACTGGTCCAAATATTTCGCTTGAGATGACTCTGCAATTTCGTGTTCTTACTGTTCTGGTTTGTGAAGACATCAGAAGAGCTTGCAAATTGCAGCGGCATCAAATTTGAAACCGTTTTACCCTGTGAATATGCTTCACTGAGGAGGCATGTCTTTGAATTCCGCCAGTGTAATCCGCGAGCCATCTGTTCACTTGTTGGAATTTGCACTCACGTAACCAGAAGCTCGTTCGTCGTGAATCTCGTCTGTTCAAGGTCTCTGAATTCGTCACTGATCGTATCGTGAAATGCGCCTTGCAATGCACCCAAGATCTCATCCAAGTCGCTTATTCCTCATTAACTTGGAAGGTCAACCCACAATCCTGTTTCTTTTGTATCCGAGGGTTATTTTTGTTTGCTGGTCCCTGTGGAATTTTTCCTCACGGATGCGAGGAGCCTTCCTGATTCGTGAATCTTGCAAGTTTCCCGGTTCATCTTCAATGTGACGCTCGCCTTGGGCAGCCCTATGCAGTGCTTCCTCGGGTTTCTTGTATTGGACGCGCGTTTAATGCAAGCGATCTATTTTTTCCTACAGCCTGTGGAACCAGATCTCTGTGTGTTCGTTGTGTTGAGTGCTCGCCGTTTAGTGTCCCAAAAAATTGACCTGAAAAGCAATTGGATCCCGACATTTTGTTCTCCGACTTGAAGCTTGCGAACGAAATGCTATTCACTCTTTTTTCGAAAAAAAACGTGCTTTCAATGTTTTCAGCTTGAGTTTTCTTAGTTTTTCCTCCTGGCATGTCTGTTTCACTCACACTGTGTTTACATTTCTTTTTATTTTCAGGCTCGGCGAGAACGTCTCCTTCGACGATCAAAGAAGAGAACTGACCGATAATCCACTGCTAATGCTTTTGTTCCTTTGTTTCGCTTTCAGTGATCGCCTCTTGTTTATACCTTTCTTCCAAAAACATCAGTCACATTTCCCATTCCGGTCTAGTTCCTTTATGAGTTTGTTTTTGTTCCCGCTTACGTTCCGAATTTGTTTTTTTCTTTTGACGGGATTACTACTCTAGGTGAAAGTAATATTCATGCATTTGTGGTTGTTGGCGTTCGTTTTTTCATCCAAGCCATTAGCTGATTCATACTCTGGTATTCTATGCTTACATTGCTTTACTGAAAGAGGACTGGTGTCGCGATTCGCAGCTCCTTATGCTTCTGGCCTTTGGACTGCTGTTCCATCTTGTCGGACAATCAGAAGGCACGGTAACTTGAGACAACCTTCAATGGGTATGAAGGAAAATCCTTACAGACGTGTTTATAAACCTATCACAGAATTTTCTACAAGGTCAAGTTAGTAGCCTCTTGATGAGGCAAGTAGCCCCGAGCTAAAATTTCTCGATTCTGATTGGCCCGTATTCTGACCAATCGAAGCGTGTCTCCTGTCCGCAGCCGCCTAATCGACACGATATCCGACTATTTCCATCAGCTCACCTCCGGATTACTGCTCCTGATCGCCAGCCGACAAGCTTTGTTCATGTGGCTGACTACTCATGAATCGGAGAAACAATTTGTTTTGGTTAGGCGTCTGTCCTCTGGCCTTTTCAGATACGTGAATAATTAAAGCATGCTGTAATGGAACCGAATGCCGATCGGTCGAGTGGATGGTTTAATTGTTTTCTAAATCTAGCAATTTCCTTTCAACCAATTCATCACCAGTCGATGTGCATGCCTTGCTGTGTAGCGTGGCGGTACTGCGTGCTCGTAGCTTGTCAAGCCCCGTGGACGGGGCTCTTGTTGGTGACGTGTAGTGCACGAAATAAGAGTATGAAACGCCAAAACTAATGATGATTCTGAAACTCCCAACTTCCGGACGTGAAAGATCCCCACCCACCTGATTAGCAACCATCGATGCCTACCTACAGTGATGTGTATGCAAAAATTGCAGTCAGTGGACGGCAAATTTAAAATAGGGGTCACGGTACATTCGTCATTATCAACAGCAACAGATAAACTGCCACGTTCGAATTACGGTTTAGCAAAGACTGGAAACAAACTTGAAGGGTGAGGATCAGCGACAAGGTGCCTGTGCTTCGAACAGCTAGTTGCCGTTTGAGTTACACGCAATCAGCGTGATTGACTCGGAATCCCTTGTCCAACGGAGACTTGGCGTAAGACTATGGGTAAAATGTAGCTACACAGACTGGCTACAAGGAGACGGTGTGCTCGCAACTGTGGTATTCTGTAGGGTGGGTGATGTAGGCCCGTATCATGGAGACATCAGGCTCTCGAAATGGACGACAGCGTTTCACGATGGGTAGGCCTGCCCAGTACGTTTCCCAACCAACTTTATTTAGTCCTCTAGTGGTTCTGTCA